TACATTATAGAAATAGGTAATTTTTGTTAGCATGTTTCTGAATTCAAATTGGCTCACTAATAAAAAAGTTATAAGAGTCTGAAAAGTTGTGAAATGAAAAAGTTATTGTAATCATAAGATTGACCAGAGGAATTACATTAGTTATCAAATAAATAAATGTTGAGCAGGTTTTATTTTATATCATGTATGTATATACAGTGAGGTCCCAAAGTAAAGGATAAATTCATTTTCTATGTGATTATGAATGCAAATGAAATATCTTGAAACGGGTCAATTTTTATATATGAAAATACACTTTGTTGATAAAATTATTTGCCCCTTCGACCTGTAAAAATTTCAAATAAAAACGGATAATGTGATATCGTGTTCAAACGAGTTTTCAATTGTCTATTCAACAGTATAGCATTTTTTAATTTTTGAATGTTGGTAACAAAAAACAATTTTCAATTGTTCAATTTGTACAATAATTAATGATGCCATGGAACGAAATAAATTTGACGTTAATAAAAATATTTGTAATTATTATAGTTTAGTCCGTGTTAGGAATCACACGTTAAAAGGTAAGACCTCGTTAGTCCTTAGCTCGCACAAGTTTCATTTTGTTTTAATCCAAGTAACGTCCCAGTTACTGTCCCCTCAAAAAAATGTGGTGCAATTATTCTATTATTTATTTAGTATGCCAGCCCAAACGTTCACTTCAATTCCTACCTAACCTAACCAACTTTAATTCCTATTCAAGTGAACTCTTGAGCAGTATTTTTACTGACTTACCTTCTCTCATCCATTGCCGATTTTGCGTATTCTAATAACTACAATACTGCTTGTTAACCGTTCCATGTAGGGTAATCGAGGAAAAGAATATTTTGGGAAATATCGGATTTCGTTGGCATCTATTTGTAAGTATTTAACAAAATTCTAATATACGATTAGGATCATCTTTATTTAGTTTCTGATGTAGTTGAATTGTATATGGATGGTATTTATGTATTTTCAAAATTCTCAATACAGATATTTACTTGCATTATCATCACCAGCTACTTTCTATCTGTATCTGTAGAGTAGGGAGGGTGAGTGTAAGCCCACGCACTTAGGCCACATGTGACCCATTGTACATCCTCCCGAGGAGTTGTCCTCCTAGGTCGTCGTCCATCCTGTCCTTTCCAGGAAGGTGGACAGGTCGCTGGGAGACATCTCCTTTATATCGGCAGGTGTAGGCCAAGACTCGCCGAACACACACTCTCTTATTGACGATAACTCCGGGCACTCGCACAGGA